GACGAGCGCGTTCCAGAATCTTTGAACGAGAACGCAGCAATTGCTCTCGGTCGTCTAGGTCTTGGTAGCGCGCCCTTGCTCGCCCCACATCTCGCTCAAATTGCACCTCCCTTCCTCCGCGCCATCAGGAAAGTGCAATGGACGGATGAGAAGTGCCACGCACTTACTGGGTTTATGTTGATTGTGCTAGCCAACCCTGGAGCCATGGAACAATCGCTTCTGGAATTCTTCAGCGATATGTCTCAGGCTGATCGGAATGTTGTTCGTGGACCTACGGCTGGTCGACAGGTGCAGGAGACGTTCCAGAAGGTAAGATTACATCCATGCTTGACAAGGAAGAGTACATTGAGCTAACTCCGTTACCAGGTCATCCAACAATACAAAGGCATGATCGGCAACTTCGACGCCTTCCTCGGCGGCCTGCCTTCCGAGCAGCAGGCTCGCTTCCGCGAGTTGTACTCCGTCTGAGTACAAACAAAAACCCGTATCAACTTCCGATATCATCATTTCCCACATGTGTGTGTGCTACCGCGGGCGTTGAATAAGGAATAGGACGAAGGAAACGTCTGGATCTTAGAGGAAGAGAAGGAAATAGGGAAATACCAACAGGCACATTACCGTCGTCACACTCTCTACCGCATATGTATGTGCGCAGGTATATGTGATCCTGATAAGGAGGAGGAAATGGGACTAGTGATAGCATTTTCGGCAGGCAAATAGGCGGGGTGGCGGGTGAATATCTACATAGAACATGTGTGTCTTTATCTTTTTCCTTCTAGCGAGCGCAGCGGTTTTCAGTTGTTTATGCGACGAATGAAGAGGCGATGATACGCACGCACGTACGTACGAAACATTTCAAAGGCGTTTTGTTTGAGCGAATGTAGGTAGTCTAGTAGGTAGTCTTAGTTTAGCTTAGTATTAGTTCAAGTTTTCTTCTCTCGAGCCACGGCGATGCGTCTGTCGACTTTATGTTCGCATACTGACGCATCATCCTCTCTAGCACGCGCGACCGTGTTGTTGCTAGTGCTCAACCACGTTGTATGTAGCGTTGGCTAATAAGTCTACGCGTTCTCTTCACCTATCTCCACGGCAAAAAGCAGTGTAGCGAGAAGCGCAATCACTCCACTCCCCGCTCAACTCTTCACAATCCAGCCACGTCACATCCACCGCTCAACCCGTTTCCACTCCGTCCTCACATAGCACCACATCACGATGCGCCAGGACCAGCAAAAAAGATTGCCAAAAATAAGGTTCAAATGGCAAAAACATACAACAGCGGGGATTCGCTAGTGGTCACCCACCTAACTACTAATCCGCCGGTACACTGCTTGTATATGGCTGAGCGGACGGGAAGCCTAATTCTCAGTGTCCTATGGTCGTATGTGGAAGATTGAGGATTTGGAGGGAATATGAAGTGAGGTAGACAGCGAAGGGGAGAGGAGGGGGAAAGAAGGTATGAAATCTGGTTTGTGGAGGAGAACAGATGGAGTCGTGCTCGAATATGAGGCGAAAGAGCGTAGCTCCAGATTGCGTGGCGATTTGAGGTAGTGTGGTTTGGCTGGGGGTTGGATTTTGGCGCACGTGGTTTGGGATAGCGCTAGATCAGGGTCGTGGCTGCTACATTGCGCAGCCTGGCACCACTTCAACACTGCACAGCTCAGCGTCACCTTCCGCGCGCAAGTATTCGAAAGCTCTCAGTGCACAGAGGACGCATCTTGCGAGGCAGGTCGAGCATAAGTGTATTTCGGGCGGTCGCCGTGCACTTGGGCTGTCCGACGCGAAGGAACAATCATCTCCGGTGAAAGGACTCAGTTGAGCTGATTCGATGGCAGATGGATATGGCGGGGTAAGATGACGAGTTGGCTTAATGTGGCTTCAGCCACTTAGCTGAACAGTCCTGCTGCCTGGTTTGACAGCATTTCAACAACAGGTCACACAACCTACCAAAGCAGTGCTTCTTATCATTCTTCAACTTTAACGCTTCAATATCGGCGATGAAAGGAGACACAAACCCATAATGTGGAAACGTACACTGCGTTCCTTTCTCCAAGGACCTCGAGATCTCAATGCTGAAACAACACCAAATAACGTTGGCTTATCGAACGTCCAAGCAAGGGTTGGAAATTCTAACCTGTTTCCCGAAGGACTCTGCACCTTCTGTCGGACTCTTACACTTGATCGTCTTTTGAAGACGCATCAGGGTCCAACTCATGAGTGGTGTTTTCAGTATGATCGAGATCTGTGCAAGAGTTGTCCAATGTGCAAAATGATCTTTGGTTCCATCGGCATCCACTCCGAGAGCAAGATGATCGAAAAGTTCTTTATTGGATTGGGGTTGGATCTCTCCAAACGGCGGCCCAATGACCGCTTATTTAGTCCGAGAGATATTCGAGAAGTTCATGTGAGAAGGTACCGAGATCCCACTGTGGGCTTCGATCTACTTGTGGGCTTCGGTCTAAATGTGGCACCGTACAGAACTGGTAAATTTCGCATATATGCAGAGCCAGGTACGCAGCTCACTCCTTTTGTCTTTACAAGTTTACTTGCAAGTCTAATTCTGATAGATTCATCCGCCTCCAGATTTGTACCGTCTTCACGCGCACCATCTTCTAATCTCTCAGACGCTAGCTTTCAAAAGATCTCTGGCTGGCTCAAGGAGTGCGATGAAACGCATAAAAGTTGTTGGAACAACTCATGGCAGTCTTCAGGAGCAGAGACGCGGTGTATGCCTACCAGAGTTGTTCACGTTGGCTCAGCAACTCGACAGCCACGTCTTCATATACCTCAAAGACACCAAATCGATCACTACATCGCTTTGAGCCACTGCTGGGGTAGAACTCCACAAGATAGAACGTTGAAAGCGAACGTCGAACTACTCCAAAAAGAAATCATACTCAACGACCTGTCAAAGACTTTCCAAGATGCAATCCAGGTGGCAAGACGGCTGAATATTGACTACATTTGGATTGATTCATTATGTATCGTTCAAGATGACAGAACAGACTGGCTCCGAGAATCTGAGCGCATGGGTGCCGTTTACGCGAATGCCTATTTCACCATCGCTGCGACGTGGACGCCTGATGGGAGCGGTGGACTGGACAGCACTCGCCCTCATAGCAACTGGATCAGATTTCCCTGCGAAGGATCCGATGAATCCAAAGGATATATGTGGTTCACCGATGCCTCATGGACCCCTAAAACCGACCTTGATGATGCACCACTGAACAAGCGTGGTTGGGTATTTCAGGAAAGGTTACTTTCCCGTCGCATCATTCACTTCGCTTCGTCGCAAGTGTACTGGGAATGTAAGCTGGGCTTCTTCGGGCAGGAACTCGAAAAGTGGTTTGATTTCACCGTTGGTCCCGTGATCTCGTCCAAATTCTGGGATATAGTAGAGGCCATTCCCCACCTTGGAACAACACCCATCGAAAGTCGGAGCAATCCTCACGAGGTTTCATATTCGGAATCTCCGCTTGGCAACTTTTACGCACGCTGGAGAACCTTTGTGCACTACTACAGCGTTACAGAGTTCACCAAACAGAGTGATCGTTTGATAGCTCTGCTGGGTATTATCCGAATCGTTGAGAAACAGACAGGCCTTCGTTGTGTCGATGGTCATTGGAATGATGGTTCATGCCAGTTCGTGCGGGAACTGATGTGGTTTCCCAAAGAGCAGAGAACGTTGTCGGTACTCGATGACGACAGTCGATCTAGGCTGTGTTCGTCATGGTCTTGGGCATCTCTTGAGGGTCCGCTATCGAGTCATTCCTATCCAATAGAGAAGACATCCTACCCGGAACGCTACCCTAAAACCTGGGGAGACTACGGTCTGAAGGATTGCGATCTTCATTTGAAGGCAATCGAAGACGAAGTTTACGTCCCTTGGCCATGTCACCCTCTAAAGGTTTCTGGAATGCTGAAAAGCATGTACAAAGCTGAACCCTGGTTTGGATTCAAGCGCAGGGCACAATTTAACGTCAGGGTAGCAGTGTCAGGGGGCACCACTGGTTGGGTTTGTTTCGATCGTAAGGATGAAGAGCCAGATGAATTTTATTTCTCTCCTCTTTACATTTGTGAAGAGGGAGTCGCATGCCTCGCTTTGGTTCAACGACATAGACCCGAGATTGCGGAGTGCTGCTTTGAACGTGCAGGCGCGGGCTTCATCGAGTCACATTTCGAGTGGAATGAACCTACCTTCCTAGGTCACGTCCTATCAACGCTGTTCGAGACTAGTAAGAGATCAACGTACTACATCATTTGAGCATGTTAGATAGATAGGTCTGGTAGATATGAGTAGCATCTGATTAACGCATCTCGACGCGGTTGGCACACTCGCACCCACTTTCTCAACCTCTCGCTGAGCGCCTAATACTACGCATCACGGTGATACTAACAATCTGGCCTTCATCATTCACTGATGACCACACAAACACTCCGCGTTCTTACAAGCCCGTCCCTTCTTACAACGCTTCATACGAGCAACAGCTCGCAAAGCCACCAGCTGATCGTTACTCAACGTGGCGCTGTGGCCATGATCACAATTCCCAAACTTCGCCATATATGGGCACCTTCCAAGGAGATGAAACGCGTTGCAGAGTTTGCGACCTTTCATAGTTAGGAAATCCTCGGGTGTATAGGTCAGTGGAGGATCCACACGTTCGCCGGATTTGTTGAAGAGCACCGCAGCTGTGGTAGACTGGCTGGTTACAGTGGGGCTCTGCGCTGTGGAAGCAGTAGACAAAGATGGCCCTATTGAGGACTGTGCGACAGCCGTTGCCCAGTTTGTCGGCGGCGTTCGTGGCGGACTGGGGATAGAAGTCATTGCGCGCCTTGCACTAACAACTAGCATCTGACTGCGAAACACCTTATCGAACGACACTGTTCGATATCTGTCCTTGATCGCAGCTAGCTCGCGGGCGAAAGGAGGGCCTTCCAAGAGAGTAATTCGGCTCCTGACCGCGTCGTCTTCGGTATATGGGCCCAACAAGCGGGCATAGCCATTATCGGCTGAGCCGCCGAACAAGATTTGGTGGCAGTGCATGTCCGCTAGATCGTGCCGGAACATTGCTGCGTGTTGTAAGCATTTGGCGTTTTGTTTGGATGACACATGGCTTACCCTTGATCTTCTCATCCGAGCACTCTTTGCCGTTGCCAGCATCAACATAATCACACATGGGGTCGCCCATGTTGAAACCACGCACGAACTCGTCAAAGGACGCTAATTGTGGGAGAATCTCCGCGTCTTTGTATGTCTTCGCCAGGCCCTTCATGTTCGCGTAAACACGAATGACCACCTGGGTATGGTGGGCCAACGCAGGTGGAGATGATCGAAGTTCTTCCTCAACAGCTTGTTTGAGTAAGTGGGCGGCTCTCTTTCCACCTTCTAGTCCGGCTTTCACAAGGTCATCATTGAACTGAAACCAGGTTAGAGTTGACGGATGGATGGAGGTAGAAGACTTACCAGCATACAATCACCATCGATCAAAACGGATGCGAAGGCATGACGAGACTTCTCAGCTTCCAAAACTTGGATCTGCTTCTTGAACTCTTCGATACGGTCGCGTGTCAACTTGATCACGTCTTTTCGATCACGAAGTTCGTACTCGGCTTCTGACAAACGAGTCGAGAGATCGTCCACATATGCAAACAGGTCCTGCATGAGAAGTAAGTGACTGGAGAAATGTTGAGGGATGGTTTGCCTACCTTGATCAAAACATGCTTTTGATCATCATTCGCCTGGCAAGTGTTCCACACACCTTGCAAACACTTTAACTGCGCTTGTGGATCTTCCATTATGTGATCTCGAAACGTTGCAAACGCGAGATGGTCTCAGCTATGAGACTCTTGCAGCAGAAAGGCTGGGAGAGAGCAGAAATAAATAAGGCTGGCAATGACTGGGCTCACAGGTAAAGGCGCAGAGGCGCAGCACGATGCACGTTACACAGCATTCGTCTCGTCGAATACTCTTCGAACGCATAACAATGCAGGCGCCAACGAACCGCTCATCCAATCATTCGCATAGGCAGCACATGTGCATCCATCCTCATGTGCTGTACACCCTGGTCACATAGCCCCAGCGGCACGGTCCGGTGTATTGAATGTTGCCTCAGGCATCTTTTCCCGAAAGAGCGTCGAATTTGAGAATTTGATGTGATAGTAGGCGCTCGATGTCATTGCGCAGTATGGCTTGGACGAACAGAAGAGCTCGTGTATAGAAGATGTGCCCCCACCAGCGCTTGCAACTAGTTCAGGTTGCGATAGATGCGACATCACGTCGCAACAATGCGGTGATGAGTGGCATAGATAATCACGTGGTCGCCGACCTCTACCACAGCCCAAGCTGAGGCTGTTTGTTTCGGGCACTCATGATCTCGCGATTGAATCATAGGAAGATTCTGATGTTATATGACAGCGCGACATGCGCAATGAAAAGAAGGCTGAAGGTCGGTTCCCCGCCCAGCGCCGCGGGACAGCTAACCAGGCAAATGATGTACCTTTGAAGGACCGATAGTATGGAAATACTTCTTAAAAGAGATCGGTCATGTGAAAAGACAAAATAGATGGAAGAGCACATGCGGATCTCTGAATAGCTATAGTGGTTGATGATGCAGGTTATTGGGTAGTGCAAACGCTGATCGGCACCGGTCTAGCCTCGGCGGTAGCGTGAGCGGCTGGACGATGATGGGATCACAGCAGTGGAGGAATGAGGCACAGGTCACAGCCGCTCAACACTTTCCCCTCAATCTCGGCCTCATAGGGCGCGTAGGATTATAAGACCTCTCTGCCCCCATCTGCCATTGTTGGGCATCGACAGCACGCTGAATCATCCGCCCCGCTTCGCCAATCGCGCGCAACACGGTACCACTACCATCACGCCCAACGTCCCGTACCGTCCGCCGTATCGCTTCGCCGCCCCACAAACAGGCTAGCAGGCTATTTATCAGCAAGCGCCCGTCCGAAGTTGGACGAGATGGCCTCGCGCACTTCGACACCTTCGCGGTCGCGTTCCTCCTCCAACAGCAGCAGCTCTTCCGACACCACCATGATAGACGCGCCGCCGCAATCAGCCAGCCGCCCAGCGCGCCTCCGCAACCCTTCGCATTCGCGTAGCGCCGCACTCCCCATGCCTACAGCCCTCCAGATGCCGACCCACGAAGTTCTTCCCGATCCGTGCTTCTCACTGCTCTTGTCTCTGCCGAGAGAGCTCCGCGATCGCGTCTACACGTATGCCCTGGTTTCCAACACGCCGTTCCTGTGGCCCGGTGCCGTGTCCAAATCCGCGTACAGCAAACATCGCCATGTCAGCGTGAACCTCCTCCGGACGAACAGGCAGGTTCACGACGAAGCCGTGATTGTTTTGTATGCACAGAACAAGTTTCTATTCACACATCCCAGCGACTGCAACATCTTCCGCGTCGTCACGTCTCCCGCCTCCGCAAACATAACGAGCGTGTACATCCGCATAAAGGACAAGGACCTGCCATTATGGACGGAATATATGGGAAGCGGGAAGGAAGTGAGGAGCCTCAGAGCTGATCTGCCTAAGTTGAAGAGTCTCTGGGTATTCCTCAAATTGGGAATGTGTCCACACTTCATGTCAGGCGTACTGGCTGGGATTCAACGCCCACTTCTCGGACCCCAACCAGCGGGACACCTACCGGCAGTTCAGAATGCTGTGGGACATCAGATACACACCCTACAGCAGCATGTCCAGAACGCCATCAACCAGGTCATGACCACCGCCGGCGTGCAAATCGTCGGTGGCACAGGCGGCCATGCGCATACTCCTGCCAACGCGAACCAGGTCCCGCCTCCGCCCCCGCCAGCTCCCACTATGCCGTTTCCGCAATTCATGCAAGGAGCGTTAGGCATGGGCGGTCATGGACAGCAGCACCAACAAGCGATGCCAGCACCGCACGCCCACGGCCAGCACAACCACCCGCCGAACCCCAGTCCGCTAGCACAACATCTCCAAGCCCAACAGGACAATCCCACCGTCCAGGTCATACACCCGCCCGCTCAACAAAGTCCGCCACCTACAACCCCCACAAACAGCACAGACCCCAACAAGCTCTACTCCGGCATGATCCGCTCCAACCGCTTCAAAGTCGTCACATCACTCTGCCTCCAGCTCCACGACGTCCTACACACCAAACCCCCTCCATCCGCGCTATCCCCCGTATCCTCCACTTCCATCACCCCTACCGACTCGTTTGGCACACGACTACGCCAAATCTCACAACATCGACTAGTCGCCCTCGATCGACCCTGGACTGATCCAACTACTGGTGCTAGCGCCACGTCCGGCAACCCCTCCCGCCCCCTCAGCGACAGCAAGTCTTCCTTCCAAACAACGAAATCTGAGACCCTTCCACCGCCGCCAAACACGGAGATCAAGATTGTGACTATAGTACGACCGGGCAAGAGATTCGTCAAGAGGCTACTTGAGACTTTTCCGGATGAGCTCGAGGTTGATCCCGTGACGAAGGATGCCAGAACAAGGTTTAGGAAGATGCATGGCGTGGATGTTAGTTGGGAGTTCAATGGATTGAGTGATGTTGAGGCGAGCAGCGCAGGTGGGGTTGTGGTTCCTTGGGATGGGGGGTGGTGAGAGGATGGGATTGAAGGGGGGAAGGTCAAGACAAGATTGGTATGGTGATTTGGACCTCGAGGGGACTATTGAGGCGCTGTATTTCGGCCGGGTGTTACAACTTTTCTCATCTCGGTAACAGGACCTAGCCTCGTCCATTAGACTTTCATATAGCAAAGCCCTAGCAGCGCAACACCCCAACCTTAGACATAAACATAGCAAAACGGCCCCCCAACCGTACTCATCGCCTCCCTAATCGTCACATTCCCAACCCCAACCCACTCCCCCAACGTGATAACATCCTCCAACGTCCCCGCCTCCCCTGGATCCCCCACCCCACTCGTCCCCCCCGCAATCGCCTCTTTCCTACTTTCCAAATCCAAATTCTGCCACGTCCAATACACCCTATCCACCATGGCATGATGCGCAAAGAACGCCGGATCCGCAGGCGAATTGATGAAATCGGAGCCTGCGTCGCCGCCGATGGTGTTGTGGCCGCCGACATGGGGGCCCATTTTGCCCTGGGCGAATTCGCCGCCGAGCACGGTTTGGAAGGAGGTGATGGTGGTGTTGTCTTTGATTAGGGCGGCGACGACGGAGTCGCGGGTTTCGGCGGAGGATTGCAGTGAGATGTCGCGGGAGAGGCAGCGTGGGTTGTAGCCTAGGCCGTTGGGTTGGGGGTTTGGGGTGGGAGGCGGGAGGGAGACGGCGGCGAGGGGGCCGAGGTTGATCTTCCAGCTGGATGAGGGTGTTAGCAGTTGGCTTTGTTGGGATGAGGAGAGGTGGGAGGCTGTGGCATACTCTTTGAAAGGGCCGGATGTTACGCAACCGCCTCCACTTCCGGGTTGGAGTTGGATGTAGCACTGTTCGGTTGATGGGAAACAGACTGAAGATCTGTTCGCGATGTATGCGCCGTCTCCTGACATGCTGGTGTCGCTGCCGTCGAAGAAGGGGGAGGCTTTTGGGTTGTCTGCCCAGTGGCCCCTAGAGGTTGGCACATGAAGTCAGTATGGGTCTCACATGGTTCTAGATGGATTTCACATACCAGTTGTAGTAAGGCTGATACCCTTTGTACCCGCATTCACTTCGCAGCATCTGTTCAAAAGCCCACGTGTAGTATCGGTGCCATGTCAAGAAATTAGCCGTTCCATGGATTGTGAACGCCTGCTGTATGTGGGTGATGACGAGATCATCGTATCGACTCCTTGCTCCTGATGCGATGGCCGCGGGTGTCTTTGCTGGCAGTTTCGCTAGGCATTTCACGGCTTTGATGTAGCTGCGTCTTTCTTGTTTGCTCAATGCTGACCTGGATTGCGTGAGTTGGAGCAGAATGGGATGGTGTCTACCTCACTCACCAGTCCCGACGAACGGCTACGTTGTCGAGTGTACATTTTTCGGGGCTCGGTAGTGGGTTTTCAGAGTAGTAGGCCTGCATTCGATGTAGACCTTCGGCAGCGAGGTCGTCTACTTCATTAGGCTTCCCTATGCTCTTTGCGCCGGTAGTACTGGCCAAAGCCATTGATAAGACGTTGGAGAGCTTCATGATGCTAGGGTATGAATGTTTCTGGTGGTGAATTGAACATGACGGGAAAGAACTTTTATGTCGGATCGGGTAGGTTCAAGACGCATTGCACTGACACGCGAAATCGTCCCAACCAAGAGCATACCCTGGTATCACTACTTACCCGGGCTGTTGATGCCGTCTCCCACCACGTCTTAGGCAAAGCGAGAGCATCCTTCGCGGCGTGCCGTCAGCCGCGGTGGGGCGTTCAGAGTAATCATCTGCAGTGCTGCAATCTAGTCGCGATCCTTTCAAGATGTGTAGGGGAGTTGACATGAATTCTCCTTCTCGAGCGCACTCGAGAGTGTCATGGAATCAGACGCTCCTTAAAAGATGGAGGTTCGATCAAAACTGCGCCTACCATAGTTTCTTGTGAGAACGGTGTTGGGAGAATTTGCTGTGTATGGATGAATGTGTCCACCACCTTCGAGCTGTCAGACATGAGACTTCCCGCATCCCGCCAAGACGCTAGATTTGGCGGCATGCACGGTGCTCCAGGGTCCATTCTTCCGGTCCTGTCTCCCGCGGGGCCTCCCCAGCTCTTCCTCCTCTCCAGCAGCACCTCATACAAGAAAAACAATGAACAAGTCGGGAGACTACATAAACATCAAAGCATGCAAAATAGGTGGCATGACGTTTATGTAGGCTCTAGGGTGTTCAGCTCCTTGGGTTCCTTGGGTTTTCCTTCCTGGCGTGATTTAATAGGCAGGGCGAGTCGAGTTAACGGAACCGGGAATTCGAGATGGAGGGGTTCGATGATCGGAGAGAAGGATGGCCATACTTCATGTGTCTGCCATGTTAATCGTAAGGCCCTCTTTACCGAAAACCACGATCTTCTCGACGATGCGGTGACCCAGCTCTGTCCTGTGGTCACGAAGCATTCGCATCGTGCTCGATGCGTTCGGAGTTCCCAAGATGGTGTAACAGCCGTTGTCTAAGCGATTGTACTCGACTTCGTTATTGTTTCCAGTTCTTGAAGACTACGAGTGCTCCGAAGCTTCCTCCCTTTGTGTCTTTCCTCCTGTAACCCAACTTTGAGAGAGCGCTGTTAATCCTTCGGAGAAACGCACGGCTGCGTAGCGAATCCACCCTATACAAGGGCAAAACTAAACACCTAAGAGCCTACATCAAGATAAAAACACGCAAAGTAGGTGGCCTGGCGTTGACGTAGGCTCTAGACGTTTACTTTTTCCCTTGTTCAAGGTCGTTTGATTGCGGCAGCAGGTGCATGCGATTGGGCGACGGCGCGCTGGCTGCATCCCGCGTGACACAGCCCCCAAAGCTGAGGAATATGAACGCCCAGAACTCTGCCATAGCCTTGTGGCTATGGGCGACACTCTTTTATCATCGTCTTACACTCCTGCAACTCATCACACAGCAACGCATCCTTCAACGTCGAATCTCACAGCTACCGCATGGAGAATATTTACCGACCGCTCGAAGGCGACGAAGTTCGCTTCGTGAGGATTGAGCCCGGCGCCTGGACGGATCCTATTCGATGCGATCTGGTACATCTACCGGTGCCCAACGCTGAAGTTGAAGTGGTAGAAGCATGGTTCTCGGGCAAACTGCTACCGGCATTATTACATCAAGAGCGCTATGACCCACGACAATCAGGCACGTCATCGTCGAGCAGAAGTTTAGAAGAATCCCCAATCGCGACAGCGCCAACTGTGGAAATGCCATCTTTTGTTGCATTATCCTATGCATGGGGTGACCCAACTCGCACGGAGGAATTACTTCTCGATGGTCAGCCAGTACAGAAGACTGTCAATCTCATCGCTGGTTTGCGACGACTGAGAGCTATGCTTGGAGATTCTTCTCGCGCACCACCTATCTTTGGTGGTCTTAACGTTTTGTTCTGGATTGACGCACTGTGCATCAATCAGGCAGACAATACAGAAAAATCAATGCAAGTACCTCGGATAGGAGGGATCTACGGGGCTGCAAAGCTTGTGGTAGCGTGGTTAGGAGAGAACGAAGAAGATAACGAGGTTGAAGAATTCATGAGCCTAGTCAACAACAGTAGTTCAGAGGAGCAATCGATGTGGCCTCTAGACTACTCCCTCGCAATCGATGTCATGGACAGCGCCAAACTTGCTCGTCTTCTGCACGCCTACAGAAACTTTTCTTGGCGGCAATGGTTCGAAAGGATGTGGGTAGTACAAGAAATGGCGATGTCACAGGGCACTGCTATACTGGCCGGGCCCCATTGGTGTTACTGTAGGTACTTCACCGGTGCCTGCGACGCCATGAAAATAGAACTCGTCAAACAACCTCTGATCGATGGTGACGCGAGATGTCTGGTGCAACCGACATCGTACTTCACCATTGCTGTGGTACTTAGCAGAACGGTTAGGGCCATATTTGAGCAAAGATCTACATCAGGGCCAAATGCACCTTCTACTCCGTCAGAAAACAAGGAATCTCAAGATCATAAGCAGCAGTTGTGTGGCTACTATGAGAGACTGGGTGTTGGGTTTGGAGAGAGCATCTTTTCAGATTGGTCTGCTGCAGCAAGACGTCAATTTGGAGATCCTGCGGTAGCCAAAGAATATCTAAGCACACGACTGCTTGCGTTCGTACTCAGAGCAGCGCTTTTGAGCATGACTTCGGAGTACAAAGCTACAGTTCCTCATGATTACCTCTATGGCATCCTGTCGATGAGCGGTACCATGATTTACCCCGGGAAGCTTGCACCGGACTACACATCACGATTTGAAGACGTTTTCCATGAGTACAGTACGCTGATCCTGAATCATACCGGCGATCTAGCCATTATCCCCCGAACGCAACACAAACTGGAAGGAGTGCCCAGCTGGGTTCCAGATTTTCGGTTCGCGAGAGCGATTACTTTCAAAGCGATGAGTTTTACTCATCTGTCCGTCAACTCTGATGTCGGCGTCATTGAAGACGGCCGGGTTTGCTTCACAAGAGGGGCCTATCTTGGAAAAGTAAGTTTGACGTCGGACTGCAGTCGCTTCACCGGATCTAGTAATAGACCCGCTATTATCATCCATCATTTCGACGAATTTCTGGAAACGTCTTGCAAAGAAGAACAGCTGGACAAGCACGACGTCTTGGTAGGAGTCCTCGGGGGCATCCGTCAGAAAAATCTCAGCCTTCGTAGGTTTCAAGCAATCGAGATCCGAGAAGTCTATGATGATTGTGTTTCCAAGTCGCCATCTTTGGTTGATCAAAGCAACACGTCTTACCAAGACATTCTGACGGAATTGTCATCGAAAATTGCAGAGCGCCCATGTTTTGTCACTTCGCAAGGCCTGATATTGACTCTCGAAAGACATGACGAAGAGCCGAAGGAGGGAGACGTACTAGCAATGTTAAAAGGAGCCGATGAACCATGGCTGCTTCGTTCTGCCGCTAAACCTGACGCAGAGGAGTACACGCTAGTTGGAGCGTGTGAGTTTTTGTACAGGAACACACAGAGCAACGTCTTCAGGGACTGGTTTCCCAGGTCCATTCCAGAGTATGCAGAGGGTAGAGAGGAATTCTTCGCATGCAACGACATACGCGAATTCCGCTTAGTATAGTGCATCAAGTTGAGGAGCTCTGTAGAAGGTCCGGCAATACAGCGACGTTGTTCCAGCAAACAACTCATTCCACTCATAGATCCATCGTTCCATTCCGCTCAACTTCGAAAGCAAAGCACCAACACCACAGAATATGTCCCGACAGATAAATTACAGAGGTCCGACACATGGTTTCAGGCGGTTCCGTACTCAAAGATCGTCGCATTTACTCTTGTCTCATACACACAACCTCTTTTCCTCGAAGAAAGAAAAGAGAAAGTGTTGTGTGCATCCAGCTCGAAATCTGCTGATGGAACAGCAGATTGAGCGAGGCAAGAGACCTTTCTACAAAGCGCGCGCGTTGGGCTTCTCAAGCTTCGCGTCGACGCGCGCGTCTCTTCACAGATAGGTGAAGGCAGCGTTGGTGGCTGTTGTGTGGAAGGGTGTGTACGACATGAGTACACAAACTTCACACGCGCGTGGTGATGGTGGCACCAGTTGTGGTTGGGCAGAGTAGGCGGGAGAAAGCGCGGCGTGAGCAAGGGAAAGTTTTTCACGATTATGTCATCGTGGCACTAAGCCTGTAGGGTACTAGCGTTCACTGTCAACCCGCGCAATTCATCCCAACTTCTGCCAGTTCACGCGGCATGTTCAGCACCCGCCAATCACCATCGCGCGCAGATGGCGTGCCCAGGGCCCTGGATTGGCCGCCGGCTTCGCTTGCAGCTTGCAGAGGTTTGGCATGTTGAACTGACGTGACGCTAGTGTTTATGTGGCATCCCGTGGATATCCAAGCCGTGCGTGTAGTCAAGCGATGTGGAATCATCAACTTCATTTCTCTCCCTGTTTCTCATCTCCTGTTCTTGATCTCGCGAATTCGTGCGCGAAACGGCTTCCAACATGGCGACCATTCGTTCGGACGAGAAGGCGACGGCGTCATCTCCTGGCCATGACGCCGAAACAGCCTTGGACGCGACGTCCACCGACAAAGACTTAGCGATCAACCTCGTCGGTGAACGCGCCCAAGACATCGACCCCGAGATCGAAGCAAAAGTCCTCCGAAAGATCGATTGGTTCCTCATCCCCGCCATGATCGTGGGTACGTCAATCCTACCAACCTCGTCCATACCATCCACCTCTCACCATCATGACTACCACATGAATCCCATCTAACAGAGAATCTTAGGCTACGGCCTAGTATACTACGACAAAGCGATCCTCGGTTCCGCCGCCCTCTTCGGCATGACAACAGATCTACATCTCACCCAAACCCTCTCCCCAGCTACATCGACTTCCCCAGCAGTAATCTCTACGACGCGTCTCTCATGGGCTACCTCGTTGTTTTACTTCGGCATGCTCGCAGGGCTTTACCCACTTACTTTTGCTTTGCAACGCTTCAACCTTGGCCGCATACTCGGCGCCGTCGTCTTACTCTGGAGTCTGATCTGCATG